GGCTGTTGGAAGCTTTGGTGTCATCCCCGGGAATAGCAGCCGGCTCTGCCCTGGGGAAAGGGGATCCGCTCCCAAAATAGCGCCGGGAGCGGGCGGGGAGAGCCGCGCCGAGCCCTCGCCATGCGCGGCATCCGCCCGGCCCGGGCAGGCGCGGACGGGGCGGGGAAATTTTGGGAAAGCGCCGCTGCCCCCAAGGACAGCAGCCCGGCGACCCCGGGACTGTCTGTCCCCTGTCGCTGTCACTGTCCCCGCGGGATGTAGCGGCCACCCCGTGTCACTGGGAGCGGCGGGCGGCGATCGCGTCCCCGGGGTCCCGCGCTGTCCCCTCGGCTCGTGGGACAAGGTCAGTGCCCGGCGGGGCCGCTCCGTGGAGGGCACCGCACCCCTGCGGTCACCTTCCTGCGACACGAGCGGCTGGCTGTCCCCAAACTGCGGGGACACTCGGGGAYACCCCCGTTTTGAGTCCCAAAGCGGGGAGCGGGGACACGGAGCGCCCGTGCCCGGCCCAGCCCGGCCTCTCTCCCGCAGGATCTGCTTCCCGGTGCAGGTGAACCGGCTGCCGCGGGAGACGCTGCTCAGTGTCACCCTGTTCGCTGTCCCCGTGCCACCCCCGGGCGGCTCCTCGGACGCCAACAAGCAGCGGCGGGTCCCCGAGGCGCTGGGCTGGGTCACCACCCCGCTCTTCAACTTCAGGCAGTGCGTGAGGGGTGACGGCGACCCGGGGTGGGGTGGCATGTCTGGGGGGGACAGGAGGGTCCCCTGTGCCATGGACATGGGGAGGGGCTGGGCTGGCATCTCTGGGAGGGGGACAGGAGGGTCCTCAGTGCCCTCAACATGGCACCGGTCTGGGCTGGCATCCCTGGTGGGGACAGGAGGGTCCCCAGCACCTYGGTGTCCCCAGTGCCATGGGGTCCCCAAGACCTTGGGGTCCTCAGAGCCATGGGCACKGTGAGGGTCTGGGCTCACACCCCTGGGGGGGRCAGGAGGGTCCCCATCCCCATGGCACCTGGCTGGGCTGGCATCTCTTGGGGGTGACAGGAGGGCCCCCAGGACCTCGGGGTTCTCAGTGTTGTGAGGTCCTCAGCACCCTGGCCATGGGGAAGGGCTGGGGGACAGGAGGGTCCCCAGTGCCAGGGGGTCCCCAGGATCTTGGGGTCCTCACTGCCATGGGGTCCCCAGCACCCTGGGCATCGTGAGAGAGTGGGGGGACAGGAGGGTCCCCAGTGCCATGGGCGTTGTGAGGGGCTGGCTTTGCACCCCTGGTGGGGACAGGAGGGTCCCCATCCCCATGGCACTGGGCTGGCATCTCTGGGGGGGACAGGAGGGTCTCCAGGACCTTGGGGTCCTCAGAGCATGGGCACTGTGAGGGGCTGGGTTCACACCCCTGGAGGGGACAGGAGGGTCCCCAGTGCCCTGGACATGGCACCGGGCTGGGCTGGCATCTCTGGTGGGGACAGAAGGGTCCCCATCCCCATGGCACTGGGCTGGGCTGGCATCCATGGGGGGACAGAAGGGTCCCCAGCACCTCGATGTCCCGATCACCATGGGGCACTGCCCCTTGGCTCAGCATGGGGACAGCACCAGCAGCGGTGCCACTCCCGTGCCCCGGCAGAGCTGTCCCCAGCGCCACTCTTTGTCCCCTGGCAGGGTCCTGACCTGCGGGCGGAAGCTCCTGGGCTTGTGGCCGGCGACCCAGGACAACTCCAGGGCCAGGTCGAGCGCGCCCAACTTCAACCAGCCCGACAGCGTCATCCTGCAGGTGTCCGGAAAAACGGGGGACACTGGGAATGGTGGCACTGGGACACCTCAAAATCCCACCCTGATCTGAACGGCCGGGCGTTCCAGGGACATGACCCCCCCTCCAAAACCCCACATCAGGGGGTTCCCTCACCCATTGGGGGGGGTCTCCTGATCTATCGGGGGTCCCCTCACCCATCAGAGAATCCCCTCACCTCTTGGAGTGTCCCCTCACCCATTGGGGTGTCCCTTCTCTCCTCAGGGGTCCCCTCACCCATTGGGGTGTCCCCTCACCCATTGGGGTGTCCCTACACCCCTCAGGGATCCCCTCACCCATCTGGGGTGTCCCCTCACCCCTCGAGGGTCCTCTCACCCCTCGGGTGTCCCCTCACCCATTGGGGTGTCCCTTCGCCCCTTGGAGGTCCCCTCACCCATCTGGGGTGTCCCCTCACCCATCCAGGGGTCGCCTCACCTCTTGGGGTGTCTTCTCACCCATTGAGGGTCTCCTCACTCATCCAGGGGTCCCCTCACTGCTCAGGGTGTCCCCTCACCCCTCGAGTGTCCCCTCACCCCTCGGGTGTCCCCTCACCCTCTCCCTCTGCCCCAGATCGATTTCCCCAGCTCGGCGTTCGAGGTGAAGTTCACCAACCCCCCTGCGGCYGAGCTCGGCCCCCGCTACGATTTCGGCAGCCTGGGCGAGGAGGATCAGCGGCAGCTGCGCGAGGCCATGCAGAAAAAATCCCTTTATTGGTAAAAAYGGACCCGGGGGTGGCACTGTSCGGCTGGGGGGACAYTGGTGACACCCCGGGGTGGCTGAAGGGTGATCCCCCSTCCCCAGAGCTGGAGTTTTCCAGGSARTTTTTMAWTTTTCCRRCTCTCTGCCCGCCCKGCTGTCCCTCTCTCGGGAACAGCTGACCGGTGCCCTGGGCAGCCTGGCACGGCCGGAGGTGGCCGGAGGGGATCGGGTGACAGCAGCTGTGCCAATGGTGGGGGGTGCCCGGCCAGCGGGGCTGTTTGGGGTCCCTGGGTGAGGGGGGATGGCCGGGGACAGCTCTGTCCCCTCTGTGCATGGGGATGCGGGGAGGGCTTGGGGGATTTATTGGGGTTCTGTGCACTGTGTGTTTTGGGGTCACAGGGATGTCACCTCCCCATCCTGCCCACCCCATCCCTTCCTTGCATTTTGGGGTCACAGGGACACCAAGTCCCTGACCTTCCACGTGTTTTGGGGTCACAGGAATGCTCTGTCCCATCCTTGCATTTTGAGGGCACAGGGACACCAAGTTCCCATCCTATTCACACCTTCTGGGTACACAGGGATGTCACTTCCTCATCCTGCCAGCTCCATCCCACCCATTTGTTTGGGGACACAAAAATGTCACCTCCCTGACCTTCCAGGCATTTTGGGAACACAGAAGTACCACCTCCCTGATCTTCTACGTGTTTTGGGGGCACAGAGATGCCACCTCCCCGTCCTGCCACCCCCATCCCACCCATGTGTTTTGGGGACAGAACAATGCCACCTCCCTGACCTTCCACGTGTTTTGGGAATACACGAATGCCACATCCCCAACCTTCCACATGTTTTAGGGACACAGGAATGCCACCTCCCTGATCTTCCATGCATCTTGGGGACACAGAAATGCCACCTCCCCATCCTGCCACACATTTTGGGGACACAGGAATGCCACCTCCCCATCCTGTTCATGCATTTTGGGGACACAGAAATGCCACCTCCCCGACCTGCTGTGTGTTTTGGGGACACAGTGACGCCACTCCCTGACCTTCCACAGGTTTTGGGGACACAGAAATGCCACATCCTTGATCTTCCACGTGTTTTGGGGACACAGTGATGCCACCTGCCCATCCTGCCAGCCTTATCCCACCCATTTGTTTTGGGGACCCAGGGACACCACCCCCTCACATCCCCCTGTGCCGTGTGTTTTGGGGACACAGGGACGCCACCTCCCTGATTTTCCATGCATTTTGGGGACACAGGGATGTCACCCCCTGACCTTCCACAGGTTTTGGGGACAGAGGGACACCACCCCCTCACCTCCGCCTGTGCCATATGTTTTGGGGACA